AGGCTAAGAGAAGAATGACTGGAGTGGGGAAGAGGAAGCTTGGGAAAATAATCATCTGGGGCCGGCGCTGTGGTGCAGTGGGTTAACACCCTTGCCTGAAGCACCAGCATTCCATATGGGCACCGGTTCAAGACCCAGCCGCTCCACTTCCGATCCAGCTCTCTGCTATGGCCTGGGAAAGCAGTAGAAGATGGCGCAAGTCCTTGGGCCCCTGCACCCATGTGGGAGACCTGGAAGAATCTCCTGGCTCCTGGTTTCGGCACCCCCGCCATTGCAGTCATTTGAGGATAGAAGATCTCTCGCTCTGTCTCTCCTCCTCTCTAACTCTGCCTTCCAAATAAATAAAAAAAAAAACACCTTTCTCAGTATTAATCTACTTGACAAGAAATATTTTAAAACAAAAGATAATGTAGTGTGGATTTACTTGACTTACCCCAATTACCATTTGAGTAATTAATTAAAATTAAAATACATCTTGTTCATGTCTTGCTGATATAATCATTTCTACTAGATATATACTACAAGTGCAACTACCAAGTCATAATATACATAAATATTTAGCTTAAATAGATACTGATTTTTTAAGTAGTTGTATCAACTTATGCTTCCACTTATAGTACACAAGAGTACTTCAGGGGCCTGCACTGTGGTATAGTAGGTTAAGCCTCTGCCTGCGGAGCCAGCATCCCATAATGGGCACTGGTTTATGTCCTGACTGCTCCACTTCCAATCCAGCTCTCTGCTGTGGCCTGGGAAAGCGGTGGAGGATGGCCCAAGTGCTTGGGCCCCTGCATACACATGGGAGACTCAGAAGTAGTTCCGGAGGCTCCTGGCTTTGGATCAGCTCACCTCTGGCTGTTGCGGCCATTTGGGGAGTAAATGAGTGGATGGAGGGCCTCTTTCTCTGTCTGTGACTTTGCCTCTCAAATAAATCAAATAAATCTTTTTTTAAAAGAGTACTTAAAATGCACGCACAGTTATAGTTTTTTGCAATACTCATTTCCATGAACTTTTGAAGACCTCTGGTATATGCAAGTTCCAGTTACTCTATATCCTTGCCAAATGTCTGTATGATCAGTCTTTTGACTATTATCCATTCTCCCGTTTTACATATATGCAAACTATCTGAGCCTAAAAGATGTCAAATACTTTTCTAAGTACTACATCTGAATTCTAGACTCTTCCCACCATACCAGCCCAACAACTTTTCAATTATGGATTTCCAGCCCTCAGAAATGGGTTGTTCCCAAAATACATGAAATGATTTTCCATAAATTTAAAATTATTTCAAAATAAAGTTACCACCTCAAAATGAATAGAATGATACCTATACCCTAACACACATCTATATTAGTACCCACACAAAATTACATCTTAATGATGGTTGTGGTGGTGATGGGAATTGTTTTCTTTGATCTAAGTAAGACATGGGTTGACAACATTTTTCTGAGAAGAGCCCAATAGTAAGCATTTTAGGCATTGTGGATCACATATTTGTACTTTCTTTTACTCCTGTTATTATTGTAACTTTTATACAGGTTGTTCCGGTTGCTATCATTGCATAGCCAATTGCTTAGAAATTTAGCAGTATAAAAATCATTTATATTCATGAAGTGTTCAGCTGCTAAGTTCTTTTTTTAAAAAAAAGATTTATTTATTTATTTATGTTAAAGTCAGAGTTACATGGAGCATGGAGAGAGAGAGGAGAGGCAGAGAGAGAGAGAGGGTCCCCCATCCACCGCGCCCATACAGGATGCCAGCACTGCAGGCGGCTGCTTTACTCACTATGTCACAGTGCCCCCCCCCCCCCCCCCCCCCCATGGATTTTGGAATCAGGTTGTCAATTTCTGCAAAGAAGCCAGCTGAGGTTTTGGTAGAGATTATTTTGAATCTGTAGATCAATTTGAGAAACATTGCTAATGTTAACATCCAATCTATGAACATAGGATATCTCTCCATTTATTTAGGTATTCTTTTATTTCTTCCAACAATGTTTGGTGGATTTTGGTGTACAAAACTTGGACTTTTAAAATTAAATTTATTTCTAAGTGTTTTATTCTTTGTGATGCTATTCCAAATGGAATTGTTTTCATTCTTGCCTCTGAATTATTCATTGCTAGCATAGAAATGCAATTGAATTTTGTAAATGGGTACTTCAAAAAATTTGCATAAAATGAAATTGAAAGTGTGAGTTTATTTTGGTGCAAGCCTTTTTGAAATCCATGCATAGTTTTTTTTCAAAATACACATTTTCCAGTGTAATGAAAAATTTTAGCACCAAAATAAATGCATATTTTAAATTTCATTTTCCATGAACTCCTTTTGAACTACTCCTGAGTACAGAAAGGGTAGTCTTCCACGTTGCTGAACTCATATATTATTTCTCACAGTTCTTTGGTGGATTATTTGCAATTTTCTAGATTCAAAATCACGTCATCTGCAAAAAGACAAAGTTTAATGTCCTTTCTTCCAATCTGGATGCATTTACTTCATTTCTCTTGCTTATTCTGAGATTTGTATGTGTCTCAGAAAATAAAGCTCTTCACTTTCCCTCAGATGTTTAACTAATTATGCAAATATAATTTATGTAATAACTTATTCTTCCCTACTGAGCAGAAATGTTTCTTTTTCACACACTAAAAACTTGTACACCTGGGTGTGTTAGTGGATGCTCTCTGCTTTATTTCTGTTACTACACTTATTCCAGTGCTACCCTGAGTTAAGATTGCATTTTATAAACCATTCTGCCTCCTTGATGCATGAATTCTGCCACCAGAGATAAATGAAATAGCACCCCAGATAAGGTGGCCAGCACAGTGCCTGACACAGAAATCGGTTGTGATGGACAGTTGTAATGTTCTTTTTTTTTTTTCTATTATAAATTAAGCCAATGAAATCACCACTATGGTCTCAAAACTAGCAAAGCACAAATGCTCAAGAAACAAAATTTCTCTGGGGATTTTTAAAATAAAACGTTTTAAAATATAAAGTTTTAACAGAATTTTATTATCCCCAAGGGCAAACATTAGAACTGGAATTCTGATATCAAATATTTTTATTTTTAAACAATTTGCAAAGTTGGCTTTCAGAAAAATTCACCGGGCGTCGCCCGTGCTGGTTGTGATGTTTCAGCAGCACCAGGCATTCCGGGTACTGTTCTGAAACTGGTGGGAGCAACTACAGCGGAAGCTTCAACTGGGCCGCCCAGGCTTTCCTCGTGTGCCATGGGAACCAGCATTAGCAGTCCAGGGGCCAACCATCTTTACAGAGCCAAAGGATACCAGTGAGAGTGAGAATTCCAGCCTTTTGGACACTATCTTTTGGATGGCAGCTCCTAAAAACAGACGCACCATTGAAGTTAATCGGTGTAGGAGAAGAAATCCTCATAAGCTTATTAAAGTTAAGAATAATATAGACGTGTGTCCAGAATGTGGCCACCTGAAACAGAAGCACGTCCTTTGTGGCTATTGCTATGAGAAAGTGCGTAAGGAGACTGCAGCAATCAGACAACAGATAGGAAAACAAGAAGGAGGCCCTTTTAAGGCTCCTACGGTAGAGACTGTGGTGCTGTACACGGGGGAGACACCATCTGAAGAAGATCAGGGCAAGAGGATCATTGAACCGGATAGGAAGCGGCCATCCTGGTTCACCCAGAATTGACACTGAAGATGGTAAAAGGATAATGTCACAGCAGAACATTTCTCCTGAAAGAGAAAGACTTTGTTTATTTTAAAATCAGCAATATGGTTGGAAATATTCTTTAAGCAGTTTTGTGTGGAAAAACTTGAAAAATGTATCATGATGACTCAAAAGTATTTGTTTATACAAAGTCTCAGTGGATTAATATGTCTGTTTATGTTACAGTAAAAGGTTTTCAGTAAAGATAAAATTTCCAGAACAAAAATAAAACAGTTTAAAATTCAAAAAAAAAAAAAGAAAAAAAAAGAAAAATTCACCAATACACTCAGGGGAGAGTACTTGTGTCCCAATCCTTCAACAAATCTGTTATAGATTTTCATGAATTTTCAATTTTCTTGAATTGTTCAGCTGTTTGTTATTATATATTGAAGTACTTTCCACACCAAGAAGTTATGTGGAGATAGATTATCTGCATGAGAACAAATAGAGGGTACTTAACAGCTTGGTATAGCAAGGCAATCAGACACCATCATTTGTGTTTTGTAGAGATTTAATTGCATGCAGGGAGTGGGAAAGCTTTATAATAGAAAAATACAGAAGCCTTCACTATGCTGTGGTTGGAGATGTTGCCATGGAGAAGCTGGAGGCAGGTCAGCTAAAAGCTGGGCACCCCCTGTACTTGGTTAGGGGTACATATTTGCTTTTCCTAGATGGTCAAGGGGCAACAAACCAGAAGATTGCTCCAGAGGCTGTGGTTTGGCTTCCTGTGTACTTGGTGCAAAAGTTGTGGAATGCAGTTCTATTGTCATATGTATTATCCCTTATATATTCAACTTTTCACTTAAGATAAATTACTTTCTCTTATTCTGCTCTTAATTTCATTTTTTTAATTCGTTAGAAAATGTATCTTTGTGCATTGCAAGAAATAGGGTCAATTTCATTTTGGGGGAAATTGTTTCCTAAATTTTTTTCTAGGGTGTCATAGCCCACTCTCCATACCATATTTAAACTCACATTTATATTATTTTATGGGGTGAGTCTACGTTCGTTCTTTCTACGGAATTTAAGAGCAACATTTTTAAGACTCCTCCCCCGGACAGCCCAACCCATTAACCCACCCCCACCCCCACCCCCACAGCACCCCTTTGTGGTTTTCATTAAAATTCTTTTTTGACCAACTTACCCACAGGAGAAAAAAAAGTCCAGAGAGGTGAGGGAGTACCTGCTCTTGAGGAGGCGGTGGGTAGCAGGCAGGCGTGAGCTAGTAGGCGGGGCATGGAGAGGTCGAACTCGGGGCCTGCGACGCTCACGTGACCCGCAGGGCAGATGTGAGCAGCAGTTTGGGTGTCCGCCCTCCCTGCCCACGGTCGGATCCTGTAGCGGTGCTCTCCGGTACCAAGGCACCAAGGCTCCTGATTGTTGCTCCAGCTTTTTTCAGGTCAGTGCGAGGGCCTTCTTCCACGTTGCCAGAGAAATGGCAGGAGGGGGGAGGGGGGAGGGGGACGGGTACACGGTCGGGGCAAAAACTGGGGGTGGGGCTCGGGTCTAGGGAAGCTGTCCCCGGTGAGGACCGAGATGAAGGTGGGAAAACGGTGCAGGGTGGCTGCGGGTGAGCCAGCCGGCGGTGGGCAGTAGGTGGGTAAGCTGGATTCTCCTATGTATCCATGCCTGCTTTCTAGGCACTTCTCTGCCCTCCGTCCATTTTGGAGACGCAGATGGTGGGCTGGGAGGCGCCCCAGCAGCAAGACGGTGGAAATAATCCCCTTCTACCATTCACTGCGTAAAAAAAACTGTTGACCGCTAGGGTGTGGAGGCTAAGCGCCCTCAGGAGAGAAGGATGCAGAGGGCCAAACATAGTTTGGAAAATACCGTGTCTGACACCCGAGCCCTAAGAAGAAATGGCGGCCGGCCTGTCGGGGGTGGGTGTAGGGGAATTGGGGAGGAAAACATTGGGTGAGTAGGGCTATATTTAGGAAAGGACAAAGTCCCTGCGAGTCCGCGGAGCGCGCAGTCCCCGCCCCTGTGCCCTGCCTGTCCGCAGGTCTGCGCGTCGGTGGTGGCCAGCGCCCCGGGAGGCCTGAGAGGAGGAGCCAGCTGCGCGGAATCCCTGCAGGTCAGCGGCAGGGGAGGCTCGGGCGGGGACCCCGAAGGGTCGGTGGCACGCAGGGCACGGCCTGGGCCGAATGCGGGCCCGCCGCCCGTATGCCCTCCCTCCGCCCCACCGCGCGGGCGCCCTGCCCCGCCGGGCCGGTGTGGAGCAGGTGGCAGCGCCTGCCACTGGGTGGTTGGCTCAGGCGTGCGGAGCGAGGGGTGTGCAGGCGGCGCACTGGGAGGCCCGGCCAGGCGAGGGGTCCCCTCCCAGGGCGCGGGATGAAGTCGGATGCGCACCTGCCTCTGTGCCCACGTCCTGAGTCTCCCCCATCTCCTCTTTGTCTCCTCCCCTCCGCCCCTACCCCCAGCACAGGACAAGGAGGGGGCATCGCAACATGGAAACAGCCCGCAGTGAAGATGGAGGAACGCCTGCGAACCAGGGCGTGATGGCAAACGAAGAACAGCCGCAGGATGAGGGAAGGCCAGAAGTAGCTTCTACTCTGGAAGACAAGGACATGTTAGGGAACAGGGGAAAGACGGAGGATGAGGACGGGCTGAGGGATAAGGACAAGCCAGAGCATGAGGGAAAGGCCCAGGGAGGAGGAGAGGCAGGGAGAGAGGGAAAAGCGGAAGAGGGAGGCAAGTCAGAGAGCTTGGGCAAGCCAGAGAGTGAAACCAGGGCTGCAGCAAAGCGCCCGGCTGAGGACGACGTACCCAGGAAAGCCAAAAGAAAAACCAACAAGGGGCTGGCTCAGTATCTCAAGGAGTACAAAGAGTCCATACACGATATGAATTTCAGCAATGAGGACATGATCAGAGAATTTGACAATATGGCTAAGGTGGAGGATGACAGGAGAAAATGCAAACAGAAGTTGGGAGCTTTCGTGTGGATGCAAAGAAATTTACAGGACCCCTTCTACCCGAGGGGCCCAAGGGAATTCAGGGGAGGCTGCAGGGCCCCGCGAAGGGACATTGAAGACATCCCTTATGTGTAGTAAGATTTGCTAACCATATGCTACTACTTGGCTTTAGATGTCCAGCCCGTTACCAGTAGCCTTTTGACTCAAGTGCAGTGTTCTAAATTGCAGTAGCAGATTTGCATTCATTGCATGGGAAAATGTTTATAATATATTGTAAAATTAAGAAAAAAAACACAACTTGCAGTACCATATATATATGGCATCAGTCCATTTTTGTAAAACTACATTTTACATATAGAAAACAACTCTAAAAGTTGTGCACACTAAAACATTAGCAGTAGTTACCTGTGGGTAATATTTTTATTCTATCCTTTTTTCATTCATCCACAGTTTGTTCTAAAAATAGATTACTTTTGTCATAAGATAATGAAAAATAGAAATATATGAGCAATCAAAAGAACTGTCCAGTGAGCTTATGAAGGCAGTGGAGACACAATTCTTGTTGTCCAGGACATAAAGTTGATAGGAAAACATTGCATTATCTCTGGGACTCAAAGCTAGAGGAATCAACTTGATGATTATTACAGATCTTAAGGAGCAGCCTTGTTATCTGTGAACTGAGGATAAAACTTGCCTTCCAGGACTGTGGAGAAGATCAAATGAGGTACAATGTGAAGCTATGATGGGTTGGCTCCTACCCTCTTCCCCACACTAGCAGAAGCAGCCCTCAGGCACCTGGGGGAAGCTGGAGGGAGGTCTCACCTGTACTCAGGAATAAGGCCAGATAACTGAGAGGTGGGGGCCACTCTCCCCTGAGTAATGTCATGTCTGGTGGGCACGGTGCCTCTTCTGGATCCTGCATATCCTAAGGTCCCCGCTGCTGCTGGTGGCCTAGAGACTGATGGGCTAAAGCAACACCTGTGTCCCAAGAGAAGGGGTAGAGAATTGCTCTTCTTATGATAGAGTTCTGCTAACTCTATCATAGGTAGTGGGTAGTATCCAGTTGTCATTTGGGCCCTGACATTTTATACAAAGTTCTTACAAAGCACTGCTTTTCATGTTTCTTGTTGATAGGTGTGTGTGGTTTTGGTTTTGGTTTTGTTTTTTTGCATAGAGACATCTCGCTAGATTTAGATACTGGAGGCTGGGTGAAGAGAAAAAAATCTAAATGACCAGATGCTGTGCCATTTGCACTTGTTAATCTCATGTCTGCTGACTTTTTTTCTCAGGAGTTGTCTCCCAGGAAATTCCTGTTAAGCTCTGCCTTATTATTTCAACAAATCCATCTACTTATGTGATTTTCCCCCTCGCTGGCTCTTCCAATAGCTTTTTATTTGCTTATAGTGCTTTCTTAAATGAACTTTTATGTGAGGATGGTTGTAGATTTACAGAATTATTGCAAAGATAGTACAGTTTCTGCATACTGCATATCACTATCCCCTGTTGTTAAATGTCTAACATTGCTGTGGTGGATTTCTCATGATGAACCAATACTAATAAATTATTATTAACTAAAGTACAAAGTTTGTTCTGATTTCCCCTAATGTGCTTTTTCTGCTCGAGGGTCCTATCCATGCTACCGCATTACATTTAGTTACCATGTCTCCATAGGTTCCTCTTAGTTGGGAGAGTTTTGACTATCCTTGTTTTTGATGACCTTCACACTTTTAAAAAAAAAAAGATTTATTTATTTGAAAGTCAGAGTTAACAGAGAGAAGGAGAGGCAGAGAGAGAGAGAGAGAGAGAGAGGTCTTCCATCCGCTTTTCACTCCCCATGCAGTTGTAACAGACGGAGTTGTGCTGATCCGAAGCCAGGAGTTTCTTCCGGGTCACCCCCACAGGGGCAGGGGCTCAAGGACTTGGGCCATCTTCTACTGCTTTCCCAGGCCATAGCAGAGAGCCGTATTGGAAGTGGAGCAGCCAGGACTTGAACCAGTGCCTATATGGGGTGCACGGCACTGCAGGCAGCAGCTTTACCCACTAAGCCACAGCGTCGGCCCTGATGACCTTCACGCTTTTGAGGAGTACTAGTCAGGTATTTTGTATAATGGCCCACAATTTGGGTTTCCTTGATTGTTTTTCTTGTGTTTACACAGGTATTATGTGTTTTGCAGATGACCACAGGGGTAAAATGCTATATTATATAAAGGGTACATATTGCAAATATCACTTACTACTGTAGATGTTAACTTTGGTCACTTTTCTGAGACAGTGTTTGTCAGGTTTCTTCATGATAGGATTACTCGTTCATTTCTCCTTTTCCATTCTGTACTCTTTGGAATAAAGTCACTGTTGGCAGCACATACTTAGAAAACGGGGCATTTTACTCCAGCTCCTTAATGGCAGAGTATCTATAAAATGCTTTTTGGAATTCTTTTGCACGGGATATTTGACTCTTCTTCTCCATGTATTTATATATTCAACTTATATCAGCATAGGCTCGTGCATATTTAATACTTTTGGTTATGATATAATACTACTTTATACACTTTGTTGGTGAAATTGTTCCAGCTTTGGTCATTAGGAGCTCTTTCAGTTGGCTTTTGTATTCATCTGACATACCTCCATCATTGTATTACGGATTTTTTTATGTTACTTTCTGACATTACAAGATGCTATAGCCTTTTCTTACAGATTTCCTGCTGAAGTCCTAGAATCAGTCATTTCTCCAACAAGCCCTGCTTATCTTTGTTGGAGAATGGTATTAAAAAAAAAGATGGGGGTAGATGGTGTTTAGCTTAGTTGTTATGATGCAAGTTAAAAGATGTTGGCATCCCATATTGGTTCAATACCTGCCTCTGACTCTTGACTCCAGCTAACTTGGAGCATGGGATACAGTGGTCATAGCTCAAATAATTGGGCTTCTACCACCCACATGAGAGACCTAGATTGAGTTCCTGGCTCCCGGCTTACTCCTTGCTATTGGGATATCGTTGCTTGTAGGCCCTCAGTTGACAGAAAGCAGATATATGTGTATCGTGACCCGTGTGTGTGTGTGTGTGCATGTGTGTGTGTACACATACCTTTATATATAATAAAAATATATATATATAATAAAATATATGTAGGAATATATGAAACAGTTATAGATATAAAGCTAAACATTAATTTATACAGATATTTACAACTTAAGTCTGTTGTCATATGGATCATTCTAGCCTCACCTTGCTTACCTGGTTTTTTGAAGATTTATTTATTTATTTGAAAAGCAGAGCGACAGAGAGGGAGAGACAGAGATCTTCCATCTACTGGTGGGACTGGTCTGGATCCGAAGTGGAGCCTCACTCTAATATGAGATACCAGTGTCTCAGGCATTAGCTTAAATGACTCTGCCAGCTTCTTCCTTGCTTATCTTTAACCTTCCATTCCAATTTCAAGAAATCTGTCTTGTTCATGGTTCAATTCCTGTATAGTTGTGTGGTGGTTTTAAAATTGTTAGCTATAGGAAACAACTGCATTAACTAGACTAGACTGAAATGTACAGTTCACTTTGCTTTTAATCTTAAGAGATTCCACTCATTTCCAAATTTACCTATGTCATCACCTTTTTGTCCTCATCCCTTTAACTTAGTTTGATTCATATGTTTAAAATACATTTGGATTGTTTTTGCTACATTCTGTGTATTAGGAATGCAATTGTAAGTGGTACTTTAAAATTTCACATTCCACTTCTTCTTTGCTAATATATAGGAAATCTGTTGACCTTTTATATTACATTAGCACTAGATTTTACAACCAAGAATATATTGGTTCTTTGGCATTTTCTACATAATCATTTCCTCTGCAAATAAAGATAGTTTTATTTCCTTCTCTGTGTGTTTTATTTCCTGTTTTTTCTTTCTGATTTTCATTTTATTTGAAAGGCAGAGAGACAGAGGGAGAGACAGACAGAGATCTTCCATCTGCTGGTTCACTCCTCCAAAGCCTGCAACAGCCAGGGTTGGGCCAGGCAGAAGCCAAGAGCCTGGGACTTCTTATAGGTCTCCCGTGTAGATGGGAGAGACTCAAGTACTTGAGCCATCTACTGCTGTCTCCCTGGGTATGCATTGTCAGGAAGCTTGATCAGAAGTAGCGTAGCCATGAATTGAATCCAGCACTCACATATGGGATGCTGGCATCCCAAGCAGCGTTCTAACTGCTGTGCCAAATGCCTGCCCCATATATTTCTTATACTAGATAGGAATTCTAGTGTTATGTTTAATAAGAGCAATGAGAAAGGCCATTCATGCCTTGTTCCTAATCTTAAGGGGTAAAATAGGGTGGACATTAGATTCAATGGTTAAGATGCTGCATGGTATGCCTTCATTCCACATTGGCTTGCCTGGGTTTGAGTTCTGGTTCTTCTTCTGATGGCAGCTTCCTGCTAATGCACACTCTGGGAGGAAGCTTATGATGGCCCAAGTACTTGGGCCACTCCCACCTACGTGGGAGACCCAGATTGAGTTTAGGGCTCCTGGCTTCAGCCTGGCCCAGCCCTGGCTATTGCAGGCATTTGGAGAGTGAATCAATGGATGAAAGATTTATCTTTGAATGTTTCTTTTTCTCTGCCTTTCAAATAAATTTTAAAAATTTATTTTTTAATTTAAAGGTTTTTGTAAGATTTATTTATCTATTTATTTATTTACTTGAAGAGCAACAGAGAGAGAGGAGAGACAGATCTTTCATTTGCTCTCCCAAATCTGGCTGCAATAGCCAGATCTGTGCCTAGCCAAAGCCAGGAACTGAGAACTCTTTTCTGCTCTCCCAGGTGGGTGGCAGGGGCCTAAGTGCCTTCCCAGGTGCATTGGCCAGCAGCTGGATGGGAAGTGGAGAATACAGGATGAACCCACACTCGTATGAGATGCCAGCGTTGCAAGCAATAGTTTAATTTGCTGCACCACAATGTTGGCCCCGTAATTTTTTTTAAGGTGAAAAGCATCACTTTGTCACCATCAAATATGATGTTGGCTGCAGATTTTTGGAGATGTTCATTGTCAAAGAGCTTCCTCTCTAATTCTATGTTGTTGAATCCTATGCTGTTAATCAGTGTTGAATTCCCTCAACTGCTTTTCTACATCTGGTGATATCATGATTTTTCTTTTAATATGTTAATGTGTTTGATTACATTGATTGATTTTTTTTCAAACGTTGAACCAGCCTTACACAATTTTTAGACATTGTTGGGTTTGACTTGTCAATTTTTTTTGAAGATTGTTACATCTGTTTTTATGAGAGATGTTGATCAGTAATTTTCCATTCCTGTGATGTTTTTTTCTGGAGTTGGAATTAGAGTAATGCTGGCCTCACAGAATGGATCTTTTTTTTTTTTTTTTTAATTTTTGACAGGCAGAGTGGACAGTGAGAGAGAGAGACAGAGAGAAAGGTCTTCCTTTTGCCGTTGGTTCACCCTCCAATGGCCGCCGCGACTGGCGCGCTGCGGCCGGCGCACCGCGCTGATCCGATGGCAGGAGCCAGGAGCCAGGTGCTTTTCCTGGTCTCCCATGGGGTGCAGGGCCCAAGCACCTGGGCCATCCTCCACTGCACTCCCTGGCCACAGCAGAGGGCTGGCCTGGAAGAGGGGCAACCGGGACAGAATCCGGCGCCCCGACCGGGACTAGAACCCGGTGTGCCGGCGCCGCTAGGCGGAGGATTAGCCTAGTGAGCCGCGGCGCCGGCCTCACAGAATGGATCTTAACATATTATTTCTGTTTCTATTTTACTGAAGAGATTGTGGAGAATTGCTGTTATTTCTTCATTAAATGGCTGGTAGAATTTATTGCTGATATGTTATGGTCCTGGAAGTTTATATCTTTGGAAGGTTAGTAATTATTTAATCCATTTCTTTTAACAGATAAAGGGCTATTAAGGTTACTTGTTCCTTGTGTGAGTTTTGATGGTATGTATGTTCACAAATTTGTAGGCATAGAGAAAGGGAGAGACCAAGAGAAAGATCTGTTCTGTTGGTTCATTCCCCAGTTGTCCTCAACAGCCAGGGCTGGGTCAGGCTGAATCAAGGAGCAAGGAACTGTATCTGGGTCTGCATGTAGGTGAAAGGGCCCAAGCACTTGGGTCATGATTTGCTGCTTTCCCAAGTGCATTAGTAGGGAGCTGGGAATCAAATCAGCACTCCAACATGGGATGCTGGCATTGCAAGTGACTGCTTAACATGTTGTGCCACAGTACTGCCCACGATTTTATTTATCATTTTAAAGAGCAAGTTTTTGGCTTTCTTTATTTCCTTTATTGTTTTCCTATTTTCAGTTTCATTGATTTCTTCTCTAATTTTTATTCTGTCTTTTCTCCTGCTTGTAGGCTTAAATTTTTATTCTGTCTTGTCTTCTGCTTTATAGGCTTAAATTACTCTTCTTTCTCTTGTTTCCTAAGGTGAAAACTTAGATTATTGATTTTAGATAATTCTTTTTCTCATATATACATTTAAACTAGAAATTTCCTTTTAACTATTTATTTATTTACTTATTTATTTAGAGACAGAGGTAGAAAGAAAGAAATCCCTCATTTGATGGGTCACTTCTCAAA